CTTAAGTAACTAAAAATAGACCTACCATTTGACCCACCAATCCTGATACTGAGTATCTACCCTAATGAAAAGAATTATATTCAAAAGACACTTATGCTCGTATTTTTATTGCAGCACTATTACAATAGCAAAGCCACGACATCAACTTAAGTGTCCCTCAACAGATGACTGGGCAACCTAAGTGTTTCAGGACTCTTATATTGATATATATTTCAAGATGTATGTACCGTGAAATACTACTTAGCCATACGAATGAATGAAATAATGTCTTTTGCAGCAACATGGGTGAAACTGGAGGTCATTATCCTAAGTGAAATGATTGAGAAACAGAAAGGAAAAAAAACTGCATACTCTCACTTATAAGTGGGAACTAAATAATGGGTACACATGGATATACAAAGTGGAATAATAAACATTGGCAACACCAATAGATGGGAAGGTGGGCAGGGGACAAGGCATGAAATATTATCTATTGGGTACCACATGCACTATTTAAGTGATTGGGTACACTAAAAGCTCAGACTTTACCACTACACAATATATCCATGTAACATTTGTACCTCTTAATCTATAAAATAAAAAAATCAAGTTAAAGAAATTTTTTAGAGAAATGTGTGCAATATAATACTATCTATATAAAAGCCTCAAGCAATACTATATATATTAAGGCTGCATTACATATATTTATATTCTTATTTTATTTATTAAATTCTAGCATAAAGGCTTAGAAGGATATACACTAATACACTAACATTTTGATGATTTGTGTGAATATGTATGTGTTTGTGTGTATTAGAATTTCTGTGGTAGTGGGGTTGGTGTAGCAATGAGAAGGAGTTTAGCTTTACACGTAATCTCATTTTGAAAGAATTTATTCAAGTATTACCTGGAAATTAAAAATTGATCAAAACAAATGTAAGATGTTAGCAAGATTTCTAAGTGAAGATGAGCAACAGTCAGTTGGAAATTTAAGTCTGGAATTCAGGATAGAAATCAAGTCTAGCTCAGTAGATTTGGCTCATACCTCCTTTTAAGGAACAGAGATGGGAGTGTTATGACCGAGTAAGTGAGAAGAAGCTACGCCAGCAAGTTGAATTTAATTAATTATGAATTTATTAAATGCGCGGGTCAAGAGTAGGCAAATGCCAGAAAAACTCTTGGTAAATTGGTGCAGTTTGTGACAAACTTTTATAGGTAAAATTTGCAGCATTAGTTACATAGCAACTTAGTGACCATAGCAACTATTAACCAACAACTTGGAACTTCAATTGTTAGGGAGCTTTGATTAATTTCATGTCAGGTAGGTATAGCCAGTGCCCAGAAAGTCCCTGGAGTTCTGCCTTTAAGATATAGTTTAAGGTAGTTTCATAGAGACAAGGAAGAAGAATCATTATACAATGGAGTTACCTTGGTTAGGTCACTAACAGAACATAAGAACAAACTATGAAAATGTCAAAGCGTAACATTTGATTTCAGTTAACAAAGCATACAGTCACATGGGAGCTATGGTGAAGGCACTCTGTAATGGTCAGCAGGCAACAGTCAGCATAACCTGCCCAAAGGAGACAAAGCTGGGAGTCTGTGGTTATGGTAACCTTACTGTAATCACACGTAGGCATTGATTCTTAGGTCAGGCAGGTAACTAAGATGAAAGTTTTAAACAAAATGGAGTAAACTGGTTAATATTATTATTTTGCTAGCAATTTCATTTTATTAACTGAAACTCTGATTATTGGTGAGCCTTTCCAAGGCCATAACATTGAAAAATAAGATACGAAGAGCAATAAAGAGATAAATGTGAACAGAGAAAAAGCAGTCACTGAGTGTGAATAAAAAGAACTGTCAGAGAGTTTGGGTAATAACTGGGAGAGTAAGAACCTGAAAAACAAAACAAAACAGGAGATAAGAGAAGTATAACAACTGCACTTATTCAACTCCAGCAGAATTAGAAGATGTCTCCAGGTTGGAAATGTAGGGGACTCTTGGTAAGCAGTACCTGTACCATGCAGGTTATCCACTTGGGGTCGACAAATATTTGTTGAAATATTGGATTTTATAGGGTAGTTTCAGCGTTGTAAGAGCAAAGGGTTTAGGAGTAGATGGTGGTAAAGAATATAAATTATTCCTTTGTCAAATTTTGTAGTAAGAAGGATGGCATGACAGATTAATGGAGGAAAAAACAGTATGCTAAGATCTTTTTGCTATGGAGGAATTTGAGAAACTTGTTGGTCTAAGGAAAGAAGACATCAGAGAAGCTGAAATTGAAGCAGGAAAGGCACGGGTAAAAATAGTAGGACATGATTCCAGAAAAAGCAAGAGGATATATTGTTTTAGTCAGAGTTCTCTAGAGGAACAGAACCAACAAGATTTAGAGTTGTTCTCAGAAAGAGATGATTATGGAAGTTGAGAAGTTCCAAGATCTGTGGTGGACAAGTTGGAGACTCCAGAGACCCAATGTGGAGTTCTAGTCGAAAGCTGGCATGTTTGAGACTCAAGAAAAACTGATGTTTAGTCCATTAGAGTCCAAAGCCCAGAAAAGACCAATGTCTCAGTTCAAGCAGGCAGGCAGAAAGAGTGCCCTCTTACTCAATAATTTTGTTCTATGCAAGTCTTCAATTGATTGGATGTTGCTCACCTACATTAGGGAATGCAGTCTGCTTTACTCAGTCCACTGATTCAAATGTAGTCTCATACCAAAAGATCCTCACAAATATACTCAGAATAATGCTGGGCCAAATGTCTGGGCTCCTTATGGCCTAGTCAAGTCGACATGTAAAATTAACAATTCCAGATAGTATTAATATAAGAGGGATTTCTCAGAAAGCGGAGGGATACTTCTTTCTCTGAGATGAAGAAAATCAATAAAAATAACGTAGAATGATCTTGATAGAAGAGAAGTAGAGTATAACATTATTAGTCATTAGTGATAGATGCAGAAGATTTGGGGATCTGAAGAAAATGACCAATTTATTGAAACAACCAAAAATAGAGAATGGAGGAAGGAGTAAGAGAGAAGTGAAGAAGAGAATTGTTCAGTAGTTTTATGATCTCAGATAGGACAATGCTTGAATTAGCTGTGAAGCTACTTGCTGTCGGCACTTTAGGACACAAAATTCATGAAGTAGAGTCAAATTCTTGCAAATTATTGCAAATTTTATTATTATTATTATTATTATTATTATTTTTGAGTTGGAGTCTCACTCTGTCGACCAGACTGGAGTGCAGTGGCCGCTCCTGGCCACCATAGCCTCGATCCGCTGGGCTCCAGCGATCCTTCCACCTCAGCCTTCCAAGTAACTGGAACTACAGGTGCATGCTACCACGCCCCGCTAATTTTTTGATTTATTGTAGAGATGAGGTCTCGCCTGCCCAGGCAGGTCTCGAACCCGCGGACTCAGGCACTCCACTCACCTCAGCCTCCCAAAGGCGCAGGATTACAGGCTAGCCACCGAGCCCAGCTGCAAATTTTATTATTTAGGTCACTTTAAATTTCATATTCCTCTTAAGGACACAGACAACAATCTTTGAAGATTGGATTGACATACCACCTTGATTTTTTTTTTTAAGAATAAATGTCTAGCAACCTATAGCTCTCCTAGAGTTTTCTGGAAGTTTTAGAGAATAGCAGCATCTATGTAACTTCCCAGGTTCTCCAACCCCTTCCCCTTCCCATTCTCCTTATTCCTTGCTGACATCTTGCACTTCCCAGATTTTCTTAAAACTACTCTTTGTAACCAGTGTCTGAATGGATAGTGAGTGGGTGGATGACTGGATATATTAATCAGTAAATGAAAAAAAGGCCTTTGCATGGAAATTACACACAAAGTTTACATTATAGAGCTAATCTCATCCTACAGTAGTCAATGGATAACTAGCCAATCTTCATTATTAGAGTTGAAAATCCCATAAAATTTCACAGGGTATTCACTGATAATATATGTGGTTTATAATGAATCTTTTCCTCTAAATTCTGAAAAATCTTTCCCCCAAAATATATTTGTGTGTATTGATTGGGTTACTGATGCATTGCCAAGTTTGATCATTATGATTTTTTTATTTAAAAAAGTATTTCTTAAGCATCCATTATATACAAGACAATGAACTTAGTGCTGGCAATGCAATAATAAGCAAGGCATACATGGTCCTTGCTTCACAGAATTTGCTCTCTTTTGAAGAGTTCAGAAAAAAATCTAATACAAGTAAGATGCATTGTGATAACAACTGTGAAGAAAATGAAGGGAAAGAGACTCTTAGAAGGCATGGCAGAAGTCTAGGGAAGATGTCTGTCAAGTAGACACAGCCATGCTTGAAACTAGAAGATGATTAAGACAAAATTTTGAGAAATATAGATCATCCAGGCAGAAAAATAATTTTGTTCAAATGCTCCAAGTGAGAGAGAAGACATGGCATTTTTGAGAAACTCAAAGTATGGTGAGATAGCAGTGTAAGAAACAGAAAGTAGCTAAAATTGAGGTGGTAGTGTACAGGTCAGCATGACCTTGTAGGCTAGATTCATGGGCTTGAACTTTAAGTGCAATAAGTACCACTGATGGATTTTCAGTAAGAAAAGGGTGGCACAAGCAAGGGAGACTAGTTAGGAGGCCATTAAGGTATTTATGATGAGAAAGCAGTGGTAAAGAAAGTGGTGGTCTTTAGCAATGATCTTAATCATCCATTATACACAAGACAATGTGCTTGGTGCTGGGAATGTAATAATAATATCTAATAATAGTAATTATTAATAAATAATTTATCTCCCTCCCAATATTGATAAGCTTAGAGTAAAGCAGTGAATTTGTTAAACAAATTCATCTTTGATTTCACCAGCTCCTCTTCCAGGTATATTTCCATATTTTTAGTTATATTTACTTACTCATGTTTGAGTCATGGTTGAGCCTTTGAATAAAATAGTGGAAATGAAGAGAAAAGTTCAAAAATATATTACTTATATGCTTAGTTGGTGGTGCCTTGTAATATAAGACTTGTATTCTTCTCTGTAGAACTACCTTGAATGTGCTAAAAAATTATACAACGCCAAAATAGAACGAGTTGACTTTACTAATGATTTAGAAGACACCAGACATAGTATTAATGAATGGATTCAAAATGCAACACATGGTGAGTGAAGTACCTTATGTTTCCACAAGATTTGTCAGTTATATGTGAATGCTGAGCACCTCAGCTTAAAAGCAAGGAGTCTTTTATATACATATGGAACAGCTCCTCCTAATCCAAAGTAACAATTTTGTTTGTTTGTTTGAATCCGTGTCTCACTCTATCTCCCAGGCTGTAGTAAGGTGGCATGCTCATGGTCACTGCAGCCTTGACCTGCTGGGCTCAGGCGATCCTTTCATCTTAGCCTTCCAAGTAGCTGAAACTACAGGTGTGTGCTACCACACCTGGTTAATTTTTTTAATTTATTGTAGAGACGATGTCTCACCATGTTGCCCAGGCTGGTCTTGAACTCCTAGGCTCAGGTAATCCTCTCACCTCTGTCTCCCAAAGTGCTGGGATTACAGGCATGAGCCATCGTTCCCAGCCCCAAAATAATTATTTATTTTCATTAAAAACAACAAGTATTGAAACAATCAAAAAAAGAGAATAGGAAGGGAGTCAATGAGAGGTGAGGGGAAGAATTGGTGAGTAGCCTTATGCAGTTCCAATATCTGCAGTGGACAAGTTGGAGAAAATTGCTTTTGTGTTTGTTTGCACTGTAATTTTGAGTAACCTTGATAATCTGAATACTTTTTCAGAAACCTTGCCTTTTGAATTATCTCATTTGATTGGGAAACAACCATGTGAGACAAACAGATTTGATAACCATTTCATAAATTAATATCAAGCTGAGGTAACTTACTGAATTAACCTCAATATCTCACCCTAGTTAGTGAAACAGAACTAAGAGTGGTTTACCGGATTATTTTCAATGAGCACAGCATAATATTTCACTCTGATGGTCAATCATTTTTAAAAAATGTTTAATACTTGACTGTTCCTTTTTGTACTGAATCTTATTCCACTTATAACATCCCTCTGTCAAATAAATATATGTTCATGTGATTGCTTTTCCAAAAGATGTGTAGCATATCTTTCATTTAAAAAATTCCTTTCATTTATCAAAATAATATATATGGCAAAGGTAGTTAATACCTTTCAGAAGAAAAGACTTTTTGATAAGTCTCTTTAATAACTAAAAACTGAATTTCAGTGAATGTGCTTTTCTAGTACAAAACAAACAACAAATCTATTTATCCTTGTTTTGTTAACCAATTCTAAGCTAATAGTTTTTTCTATACCTCACAGTTGGCTTTGCTTTGTACTCTGAACATTATACATGTATTTACTGACTGGTTTGACCTCAGAAACACAAGGCATGTGACTTGCACTCTTTAAAAAAATTTTTTTATTTTAAAGATGTGGGGTACAATTCAGGGTTAGGTATGCAAATACTCATTATGCAGGTACCCTTGTTGATGAGGTATGCTCCCCTGCCCCCAGCGGAGTCCCTCTACTGCCAATCCTGACCCCCAATGAAAATTTTCAGCAGCATATATTTAGTCCTGGGAATAAGAACATGATATATCAGATTATTTTGTTCATTCATTTGTCACTATGTCAGTGGCGGGTTCCTTTGATTTTTAGCCATCACATTGCAAATACAGCACTTATAAATCAAGAGAAACCATGTGATTATAATTTTTCTAATAACTGGGTGTGATTCCATTTAGTATTTAATATCTAAGGGTGTCATATTACTAATACCTTTTTCTGTTTAGATCAGTTATGTATTTCTCTTCCTTTTTAATGCAAATTTATGAAGGAGGAACTCCACCACACACACAAAAAAAACAGAATTTTTTTTTTGAGAGCAGGCCCCTTGTAATACAGGCTTCTCCCAGTAGGTAAATGTTCTAGGAACCCACCTGCATCAGTGTACCAGCTAGTGTTGTTTTAAGCGGCTGCATCTGGCTTCAGAGATTTTTTTTTTTTTTGGAGATTCTTTCAATGCATTTGCCCAGTTCATGATGGGTGATTTACGAGCACACCTGCCCACACCATGCTGAGTGTTCACCAATTTTTAATCAAAAAATGCATAACTCCCATGTCCCACCCTCCCTATCCACCTGATCTCACTGCTAGCGACTTTTTTGTTTGTTTGTTTTCCTGATGAAAATGTCCTCAAAGCAAAACTGTTTGCTGATGTGGAAGAGACAAAACAAAAAATGGCAGAAACAACTAAAAGGCATCAAAATTAATGAGTTCAAAAACTGTTTCTGAGCTTTGAGAAAGGCATCTCGATAGGAGGAATGCATCAAACAGAGTGATTCCCAACCTGTTTTGGCATCAGAGATTGGTTTTGTGGAAGGCAATTTTTCCACGGAGGGAGGTGGGATGGAGGGTGGGGAACGGGGATGGTTTCAGGATCATTCAAGCACATTACATTTATTGTGCACCTTATTTCTATTATTACCTTGTAATATATAATGAAATATATAGCAACCACCACCCCAGCTCCACCTCAGATCATCAGGCGTTAGACTCTCATGAGGAGTGAGCAACCTAGATCCTTGCATGCACAGTTCACAATAGGGTTCACACTAATGCCACCAGTGATCTGACTGAAAACTGTTTAGGCACTGCTCAATGTGAGTAATGGGGAGTGTCTATAGATACAACTGCTGCTCATCTCCTGCCGTGCTCCCATGGTGCACTGATCACAACTTTATGCTGCTGATGAATTATGACTACTTTTTTGGTTGTTGACTACTTTTTGCTAGACTGTGAGCCCAAGGATGGCATCGGCTATGTTTTTCACTGCTGTAATTCAAATATGCAAAATAATTCATGAAATCTAGCAAAAATCTCATGAATGTAGAACTGAAGGAGGGAATTTATTCTTTCAACTGTTTAGAGTTAAGTTATATTTGGGATGATGTAGTAACCAGAGGTGGCCTGGTCAATGCAGTAGGTGGTTCGGTGCCTATGAGCAGAGGCTCCAAGGACGGTTTTCCTAGGTTGGATTTTATTGCCATTGTTTTCTTGTATGACTTTGTTCACAATATTAATCTCTCTGTGCCTCAATTTTTTCAATGTAACCAATAATAGTACCTACCTCACAGGGATTTTGTGAGGGTTAAAGCAAAGATTGTACCTGAAGTGTTCAGAAAGTTCTGGATGTATTAATTGCTCAGAGGTTTTTACTCATATCCTTATTAGTATATAATAATTATGTGATAAGAAAAACTTCATGCCCATGAATAGTCTTCAAAACATCTTTAAAAGTTGCATTCAAAATTCACATATTTCCTTAATTTGCTTTTCAAAAGGCAAAATCAAAACCGTGTTTGAGGAAGGTAGCATAAGCTCCTCTGCTGTCATGGTGCTCGTGAATGCTGTGTACTTCAAAGGCAGGTGGAAATCAGCCTTCATCAAGAGTGAAACCATACATTGCCGTTTCAAGTCCCCAAAGGTAAGCGGTAAATCTCTTCTTTAATTTAAGGGGTTTTTTTCCCAAATGGTATGTCTTTGCAGGAAATTATGACATTTACCTAGTAATGCTGGGTTCACCATTTCTTTACCCATTTCTTCTTCTGCATCACCACTACCATCTGGTCAGTTGATTCACCAAGCAAACGTTCTATTTTCCTGCTAATGCTGGTTATAAAACACAATCAGAGGTATCCCATAAATTGGTATTTCTTAAAACATATTCAAAATTGACAAAAAGTATTCAAGGATAAATATTTTTAAGATATTTTACTTGGAGGCCTATAAGAAGAAAATATAATGATATTAGGTGTACTTTAAAAAAAATAACATACAATTTTGACTGTGAGTTCCACAATTGGAGTCAATTACCAACAATGATTTTTCTGAGTCAAAGCAGGGATGTGTTTCCTTTTACAAGGGAAAAAGTTATATAGTAAACTTTTGCATTTCCAAGTATAAGTTATAGTGTTAGCTTGCTGTTTACTTTTGACAAGAGAAGAAATTTATAGCATTCATTTTTTATTCTGATAATTATTCATTACTTGTTATAGAGACATTTCCAGTTAAAACACTAAGTACAAGGCAAGATTCCAGGTGCTATATATATTAATTTACATAAAACTCATGACAATAACAATTCTATGCAGTGGTGACTATTGTCATTCCCATTATACAGATGAAGACGTGGAGGCACAAAGAGGTATAGTAACTTGCCCAAGGTCACACAGTTAGCAAATTTTAAATCCAATGAGTGAAACCCTGAGTCTTTGCTTTTACCACAAGACATGCAACAATGCAGTCACTGTTGGCAACATGTCAGGAATAATCTACAGGATAAACTGAGCAAAAACTTATTGACCAAGTACATATTCAATATGTAGTATTCTTATATGTTCTTGGTCACTAAGTAAATTATGTGGGATTATAAGTAATTTTTTGTGATTTGACTTTCAGTGTTCTGGGAAAGCAGTTGCCATGATGCATCAGGAACGGAAGTTCAATTTGTCTGTTATTAAGGACCCATCTATGCAGGTTCTTGAGCTCAAATATAATGGTGGCATAAGCATGTACATTCTACTACCTGAGAATGACATATCCCAAGTAAGTTACTACTGTCACTTTCACTACTGGGGAATAAGAAGACTTTTAGTATACTGTTGATAATGTTTTATAGACACTTATCCACTTATTCGTTTATTTGACAAATATTTAAAATACCTACTTTGTGCCAGATACCATTGTAGATGTTGAGATCAATTTATCTTGGCTTGGCATAATTTTTGTTGAATAGCTGTAAAGTTAGAACCCTCCAAATCTCAGCTATGGAATTCAAAAGGCATGAGTTTAGATCTTCTTGGTGGTTGGCCACGAAAACAATCTTTTAAGTGTTATTAAAATGTTGATAGACTAAGCATCTACAGGCAGGTATAGCATAATGGAGTTCTGAGACTTCTGATCTCACTCTGTGCTGCAGTGTCTCTAGTGAAAAGCAGAGGTTAGGGACTATCCTGTGACTGATATAGCAGGAGAAACACACTAGCATAGTGCAAGGGGCACACAGTGGTGGCCTTGCAAGCCAGACACCATCACTGTGTCTCAGATCTTGATCTCCTTCCAGCCCTTCCTCCTCCTGATCTTGGATCTTTGAGTCTTTGATATGCGGTCTCAGAGGTCTTAGACTTATCTTCCTTCTCTGTTCTCCCAATCAAAAGAAATAATAGACATCATTTATCGAGCATCTGAGCTTCATTTGTATTATCTCGTTTGATGTTGACAGCAACCATATTGTTGACAGAGAAATTCAAATTTAACTTTAAAACTTAGTTTTATTTTTTAAGCGATAGTTTCCATCTATTTAAATCTTTTTTCTACATTTTCCTACATCAGAAATTTTAGATATTGGAATGCTGAGAGATGGTAGCCATTAAAGATCACTGAATGAGGCAGGGGCTGGAAGTAAAGTGCTGCTATTAAAAGGGAATGGAGGTTCTTTGAATTCAGCTAATTTTTTTCTGATAGGTATTAATGTAAAAATATGTGTGTTGGTGTGTGTATATATGCACACACATAGGCATCTCAGTCACACTAAAAAGCTACAACTACATTTTAAAATATTTGTTTTCTATTTGAAAAATAATTAATGTTTTTTGTAGAATAATTGACAAGTAGAGAGAATATAAAGAAATTCACAGGCCTACTATTCAGAGGTATTATTTATATCCATCTTTTTCCTAGAATTTAAAAACATGATTTTAAAGTTTTGTAAATATAGTTTCTACATAAGCAAAGACTAGTGAGTAGTTATAAAGATTTTCATTCTTCATTCATTAAATTTTCATCTTAATATCCTTTTGACATGAGCAGCAAGAGTAATGTCATAATATTGGCATTGTTAAATGTAAAGTGCGACCATATAAAATATTGGTACTTGTATTAAGTAAAAAATTTGCCTTATAATCTTTATACCACTCAGATTTCAGTACACATCAATTATTTCAGCCTAAAATAATTTGTAATTAAAAAGTAACCCAGCCGAATGTGGTGGCTCAGGCGAGAGGATTGCCTGAGCCCGGGGATTTGAGACCAACTTGGGCTCCTCGGCAAGACCTCTTCTCTACAATAAAAAAATTATCTGGGCACAGTGGCACCGCCTGTAGTTCCAGCTATTTGGAAGGCTGAGGTGAAGGATCACCTGAGTCCAGCAGGTCGAGGCTGTGGTGGCAGTGAGTGTGCCACTGGACTCCAACCTGGGGGACAGAGTGAGACTTCAACCCTCCCCCGCCCCCAAATAATAATAAGTAATTCAGATAGAACAAGCTCAAAAGATACCTTGGGTCTTGCACTAATTATCTGGGTGTTCTTTTTCTGTAACAGATTTATCTAGTAATAAGTGGATTCAACTAAAATAAACCTTCATGCTGTATAATCCTAAACACCTGCATAACCCTACATAACCAAATAATGATGAGGATGTTGGCTCTGTAGTGGGCTAAATTAAAAAAAAACAATCCAACTCAGAGTAAAAAGTTATTACAGGTTAACTACAAACTGTATCATTTACACATGGACAATTTAAATTAGAATAAATTTAATTATATACCTTCAGGTTCTTGACAAGAATACAAGTAAAGTTCAATATTGGTGAAAAGCTGTTTAAGATTATAGTGAGCCCGAATTTGAGAAGAATACCCTTGTATATCATTTCTAAATAATATTCATGAAATAGCTTCTCATTATAAATCTGGAAGAATGTATAGCCAATTCCCAATATTCAAGAGTTGGTGAATTCAATGTGTGAATCATTTGGGGGCAGCAATAGAGTTGGTAAGTGAGACGCGGGCTCCTAGCTGTGTAACTAAGATTGCTTGCTTTGCATCCCAGGCGTATCTCCTTGCATCCTTGTGAGCTTTGGTTGTCTCATCTGTTGAATAGGAAAGTTGGTTTGGATCCAAGGCTCTCAGACAGTGTGAGTGATGATGTTGGGAGATATGGATCGCCCAAGCCCTTAGGGCTGGAGCTCTGGGATCCTTGGCTCAGGTCACCTGAGGTTCTATCGATTTACTCCAGCAAGCTGTGCGAGCATTATCATTTTCTATGTCTTTCATTTTGGGAAGATGGCCAGAAAACACTGATTTAAATGCCTGCTGAGCTCCTTTCTCCCTCTGATGATCTGATTCCCAAGTTTCTTCTCCTGTGCATTGCTCCACCCTGGTTCTTTTCTATTCCTGTGCAGGCAGAGAACAAACTTGCCCTGAAGTGCAAATAATTCATGCCTTCCCATAGTAGGCCAAATTAAACATGTGATTTGTCAAAAAGTACTTGAAGTATTCATTTGAATAGTTTTCCCTTTTGAGACTACCCAAGGACCCATTTATATACCTACATAAAAATGTCCAGAATGGGGTAATTATGGAAAACTATATATCTTTGTAGTTGTTGCTTTATCCATTGCCTAATCATATGATTCTAAATCACTTTTTAACTATTTCTACAGATTGAAAGTAAACTGACCTTTCGGAATCTAATGGAATGGACCAATCCAAGAAAAATGACCTCTCAGTATGTCGAGGTGTTTTTCCCTCAGTTCAAGATAGAGAAGGATTATGAGATCAAATACTATTTAAAAGCCCTAGGGCTGAAAGATATCTTTGATGAATCCCGAGCTGACCTCTCTGGGATAGCTTCAGGAGGCCGTCTATATTTGTCAAAACTAATGCACAAGTCTTACATAGAGGTCACCGAGGAGGGTACTGAGGCTACTGCTGCCACGGGAAGTAACATCGTAGAAAAGCAACTTCCTGAGTCTACAGTGTTTAGAGCTGACCACCCATTCCTGTATTTCATCATGAAGGATAATATCATCTTATTTAGTGGCAAAGTCTCTTGCCCTTGAAAATGCAATGGGTTTTTATGACAATAGTCCCCACATCAAAGAACCACCTCAAGTGAATAGATTTGAATTTAATTTGAGACACGTAGTGTTTCCTGTGAGTTTGCTTCTTCCTAATGTTAGTCAGCAAATGACTTGATTCTTCTCAGACACCTAGTTGATTGTCCTGATCCCTATCCTTAGTATTTCTACCACCATTTGTCTACCTGGTTTTTAATTTCATTGTCTTCTACTCACACTCATTTCTACCCTTGGCCCATCTGAAAATTACTGAGCGTGACAATGAAGCAGCCTTAGAAATCTCTTTTGAAATGCTGTAGTTATCACAGATATTCTAGCCTCATTGTAAATGATATAGAAAATAAGTCCTGTTGATTCCCAAAAGAAAGGGTGAATGATAAATTTTTGTTGTTGACTTACAAAGACATTAGTGTTTACTTTCCCACATTTGATTTTAAATCAATGTATAATTTAGATGGCAAAAAATGTGGAATTGGGATTAGAGACCAACCAAAATATTTTATTAATGATTTCAAGCTGACAAAGCTGACATCTTTTGGCCTTTCTTTGATAAAATGTAATATGTACATAGTTTTTCAAATATTAAAGACCTTTGAACTGTTCTCATTTGTTATTTACAGTATATTATTTCATATGCTACATAGTTCACAAGATTTTTGCTCTATTTATCAGAATAAAAAAGTACAACATACCTTTACAGTGTGATTGTTCTTCTCTGACCAATTATGGGACTACCAGTGCTTGCTTTATTTTTTAGGCCAAGCAAGTAAGCAAGAAAAGAAAACCACGCTTTTTAAATACATTTGATTTGGTTAAATGTGGCAAATTTATTAAGCTGTTGAGCTAATTTTAAATACTAGAATTTAAAGGAGTATGGGGAAGTGATTTGCATATATGAATATTTATAATAAGCCATAGTTAACTTTATAAACAGATTAAAAATAAATTGGAAATTAATAGACCATGCTGAACTTATTTTAGAGTTTATAAACATTGTCTACTGAATTATGTTTTTATCACAAAAGGTTTATCTGAAAAGAAACTATTCTATAAATCAGAGGTAGCCTATTGCAGGATGCTGTGGTGCTCAGTACTAAACCTGTCAGATACTTGACGTTTGAGAAATATTCAGTAATAGGGTATGAATGAGTAAATTTGAGAAATATCCAGTAACAGGGTATGAATGCATAAATTTGACATTTTTTGAAGATGTAGAAAATCCCTTGGCCAAAATAATTTCACCACTAACCTGCAACACCTTTAAAAACTTTTGCCTTTCAAGTTCCTTTATGGAAAGTGAATTTAACTGGTATGCAGTGGTATGTTTTGGGGAGGAATTGATTTTTCTGATTACCATTCCCATATATTACCATTGAGAACTAATACACCTTTCAAGGAATGGGAGACAAGGGCATGCACTATGGTGAAGGCCATGTAGCCCACTAGCATAGACACTCTTTCCTGCTGACGGTGTCCTCTGGGCAGCCATGGTGAGCCCCAAAGCCACCGAGAATTGAAGTAAAAATCGGAGAGAGTAATGTGAGGTCTGTAAGAAAAAAAAATACTGTGTCTTAGTCCATTCAGGCTGATATAATAAACTGGGAAGTTTATAAATAATAGAAATTTATTGCTCACAGTTCTGGAAGCTAAAAAGTTCAAAATCAAGGAAACAACAGATTCTGTGTATGGTGAGGGCCTGTTCCTAATAGGGCAACTTATTGCTGTGTGTTTTTATATGGTAGAAGGACTGGAAGGGGTGGAAGAAGAAAGACATCTCCTTTCAAGAGCACATATTTTATTCTTGAGGGTGGAGGTCTCATAACCTATTCCCTCTTAAAGGTCTTACTTCTTACTAATATTGCACTAGGGGCTAGGTATCAATGTATGAGTTTGGGGGAGACACCACATTCATACCACTGCAGTATAGAAAAACCAAATGCAAATCTGCCCTGCAATTTTGATTGGCTGGTCCTGCTCATATGCTTGCCTCATGTTTAAGGGCCCATCTTGTTCACAAAAGAGCTACATTCTGCAGTCATGATTTTGTCTTAATTGGGCGAAACTTTTGCAAGCTTGAAATAGCTTCTAAATCTGTGGCATTTGTGGAAGCATTGATTTTTTTTTCCATTAAGTGTTGTCAATAAACATTAGGTTCAGTGGTAGCAAAGGTAACAGCTCTTCTCCTGTCTTATCACTGAAGCTCATATTTCCTGGGGTGGCATCTATGTTTGATGTCTTTTTGTACCCTCCTATTCCTAGAACAATGCTTGACATATGGTAGGCACTAAATATGCTTTTGGAATCAATATAGTCATTAATTCCAAGGTTGTGATTTGGGATGGTAATAAGACCTTAGGGAACACTTTAGTATAAGATAAAGTTGCAGATTTTGTAATGTATTTCTTTCTCTACAGAGTTTATCTTTTAGAGTCAGACTTCTTTCATCTGCTTATTGGTCAGAGATATCTCCAGGCCTCTTCTCATCTTTTTCAAAATTCTTTCTGTATATAATCCCATCCAGTCACATGGCTTCAATAATTGCTGGCGATACCTATCTATGTGACTAATTTCATTCAGCTTCACAATGACCTCCTGAGTAACTTCACCTGAATGTCCTAGAGAAAAATTAAGCCTGTTTATGATGAAATTCATCCCTGTCTTTCTTCAGTCTGCTACACCTTTTTAGGTAACCACTTTTGGTTAAAGAAAATTATTGTTTAAAAACCCAAGCACAAGCCGAAAAGATTATCTGTGTGCCTTCCTTTCTTTTTACATTCTAACTTCGTTGGTGTTTCCATTGCAATGTCTCTTGAATATCTCCCCTTTCCATTTTTTCATCAACACTGACCTAGTTTAGGCTGCATTTCTTTTATGGGTTGGTCACATATCTGGTCTGTCTTTTGTGACTTTTATTTTTTTCTCACTCTTAAACTCAAAGTTGTGAAATATTCTATGTTTTCATCTGTAGATGCCAGTTATCTTCTTAAAATGCAGATCGGATCAAATCATCTCCTTATAAAACACTGGTGGCTCTTCACCACCTAAGGAAAGAGCCTAAACTCCCTAGCCTAGCATGGCGTTCAAAGGTTTCCACAATTTTACCCTATTTTCCTTTCTTATTTATTTTGCCACTCTCTACCAAGGACTCTAACCTTTAGGTGCCCTGTATTATTTGAAAGCCAAATCCATTATTTTCATTATTTGCACTCAGTTTGTCCCATCTGACTGATGCACTTTCCTCATCTTTATTTGAGAAGGCACATTTAGCTGTTCAAGAACCTGGTCACACTCATGCTCTCTGTGAAGATTTTTACTCAGCTCAGCTGGACTCAAAACACACACACACACATACACACACACACACACACACACACACACACACACACACACACAGTGTATCCCTGTAAGAGAAGTGTGCTCAAATTTCTTGCTAATTTTGTTTATGTATATGTATGTGCATATTTGTGTGTGTGCATGTGTGTGTGCGTGTGTGCATGTGTGTGCGTGTGTGTGTGTGTGTGTGTGTGTCTTGTTAGATGCTAGACTGTAAATTCTTTAAGGGTAGGAAGATGTTAGGTAACACTTGCTCACTTTAAATGAATCCCTTAAATTCTGTGAAGGTCCTAAGAAAGGAACAAAATCAAACAGTTCAAGTGCAAACCTCCACCAGGGACTCCTTGAGAACATTCTGTGTTCTGCTAGTCACATGCCAAAGCCTGGGTATAAGCACAATCTCTAGGGTGGGAGAAAGAGCATCACTGGATCTCCTGTTTCTACAGGAGTAGGAGGAAGTATTGATTCCTGATCTTTCAATGTGGAGAAAAGTATCACCCTCAATTACGCCACCACCTTCTTCATTGTCACTCCTGCTTTGTCATTTACAAAACACTTTTGCAGACTTCATATCAATTGTCACTGCATGCTTCGAAGATGAGAGTTCTTATATATTGTTGATATTTCCATTTCATAAGAAAAATAGGATCAAGAGAGGTGAGGTCATTTCCCAAGATCATGTGTGCTTTTTCCACCATAACATGTTGCTTTGGATGTCATTACACACATCATTTGCTCCTCAGCTATGCTCAGAGTCCTCTCATCTCATGCCCCAACACTTCACGTGGCTCAGTCCTTCCTTGTTGTGTCTGCTGACTGACCAAGCATCTCTGATGACCTCAGGCATTCCTGGAATACCATACCTCTTACAAATTTGGGCAAGTCTGTAAATACATGGCTATGTGTTCTTATGTTTGGGTCACTTAGACTTGTAAGTGATTTCACTTGGATAGGTATTATTTATAATAATGACCTTTCTGAGAGTTTATATAATAATAGTAATAATATCATAAATTCTCCAAATAATAAACTCTCTTAAGTATAAACTCTCTGAGAGGAGGGACAGCTGGCTTCTGCTCCCTTTGTAATTTCCCTCTAACACCTTCTAGACCACATCACTGAAGAATTGATGTGACTCACCCTCATAAAGGCAGTCTATATGTCTTTTCATCTGAGCATATTTGACACTGATGTTTCATTTCTATTCCTACAGACAAACGTGGGATGTGTGATGACCCACGTTTAGAATAGCATTCACAAACCTAAACCTCCTTTTAGATACCAGCAACAGCATCAAAAAAAGATAGAAATCTTACCTAAAAACAGGTAGTGTGCTACCTAACAAAAATTAATTGTGTGGTTGGACATTACTTTGATGCTCCTTTCTTTTTTCTTTTCCTTGTCTGTAGCTTTGGGAACCAAAACAAGAACACCATTATGCTTGAAATATGAGAATACTTTGGTGAAACTCAAGTGACTAATCTTTTACAACTATTTTGAGACTTAGGATTGGTGCATAATTTAAACAAAGGAATAATTATATTGAGGAAACGCCTCAATATAATTAGTTCATTGGGAAGAAAAGCATAGTGATAAGAATGGAAAGGTAGGTGTGGAGGGAACAGAAGCTCTTTCTAGATGCTTTAAAAACAATCCATTTTAAATTATACATTTTTTTTCCCAGTTGTGCCAGACAGGGCACACCACATCCTTGTCAATGCTGCTAATGATTCTTAAGCTAGAAGAAGCTGTCATAACTTCCACAGGCAGAGCAGGGAGATAAACGTGATGAATGAGGA